ATCGCTTTCTGGTAAGCAAGTACATTTTAAAGCAATTAGATATCATTTTCGATCATACATTCTGAGGCAGATTAGATTTTTTGTATGTTTTTTACCTTTTGAGGTTTGTCACGTCTTTTACAAATACTCTGGATTTACCTTTTTTCCATTGCTTTAACCATGCTCTGTTGCTGCCATATGAAGTACCAGAAGTCAGAATATACTGCAAAAGAATGATTAGTAGTCCTGAAATTGTCTCAATTTGTTTCAAGTTTGATGTAGACAGAATCAAGATAATAATTTCAGATGTTAAATGGAATTCTTTGCCGGTTTATATTACTCATGCTGTTGATGTTTAATAGCATCTAGATGTTACAAATCTTACTTTTCTACAGTTATACTTTTCCCAAATTACTGGCATCTTTTGCTCATGAAAGTTTGAGATAATGAATAAATAAATGAGTAAGAAAGGAAATACTTACTAAGCCTGCTGCTTTAAAATTTTTTCAAATTAATTACATATCAGATGACGGTAAAGCCACGGATGGATACATTTCTGATATTTGCTGTGTACGTCTTTTTCTCTTTTTTCCTTTTAAATGCAGGGGTTCTCAACCAGAGGGGAATTTACTCCAGGGAGGATTTCATAATTTCAGAAAGGATGCTATAAGCCTATTAGTGAGCTGTCGAGTATTAGTTTTAGTTCATGAATATGAAAAACTTCTTTTATTCAAGTTTTGGTGTTTATCACTATTTTCTATACTTTTTGTTGTTTAATTTATGCAACACATAAAAAATAATTTTCAATGTATATATGTATTTTTCGATATTTATTCCTTTTTTGGAATGGAGGGGAAATGATCTTCTAACAATGGTGAAAGGGATGCATGAACAAAACAGGTTGAAAAAGACTGTTTTAAGGAATTTTAACTCAAACTGGAATTCAAAACGCCACAGATATTCAAGAGGGAAGAGAGAATTCTACTTTCAGAAATCATTGTTAAGTAAATGAAACTTAAAGATAGTTAGAGTTCTATAATAAGGCATATATCCGAGGCAAATGAATTATGTCTACGAACTTTCCAGGTTAGAGGGTGTTTTCTGGAAATTCATCATCATGCAATAAAAATGCATCCATAATGATAAAAATGTAATTACATAACGATATGCATGCTTGCAATGTGAGTGATTAATGGTAGACTATTAAAATACTTATCTTGAAAGTACTGCCAAACCTCGTAAAGAGTCCTTGGGAAAAGAAAAAAAAAAATTTAGTTACTTTCATAATCATTCTTTTCTGATTTTGCCCATTTGGATTCTTGTCGCTTTCAGTATTACGTTTTGCCTGTTAAGCACGCGTACATGCAAGCTATTATAAGTTTTACCAATGTGCCATAATAATATTCTGCTAATAGCAATAATGCAAACAACTAACATACTATATTACTGAAATAAATTCAGTCACTAATAGTCAGCGTATAGCTATTACACAGGATGTTTAAAAAATGATAGAACAAATTTTAACAGGTGGGAGAGCGCACCAAGCAAACATTTGCTTTTTACCCTCGAATACACAGTCAAAAATGAATCGCAAAGCGTTACAGAGCGCTTAATGAGAAGTCAAGGAGTTGAGACTTAAACATAAGAATGACACAGAAAATGAAGGAATTACTTTGCTCCCGAATAATTAAAGTAATATATAAAAAGAGCAACTATCAACACATAACGGACATGGAAGTGTTGAAATAATTCGGACACATTAGACACGCTGCTGCATATAACTACACGAAAATTCTAGGGACGAGTTCCTCACCACATTAATAGAATAATCTCACATACGAAGCTTTTGAGGTATCTCTACCAAACGAAATCGAAACGCACAGCATCGGTAGAGAGAGTGGAAGTCTTGGTATGAGAACACCTCGCTCAATACAAAGGCCCGAAAAGATGAAACCAAGATAATTTCTTACATCTTGTTAAAAGGGATTGATGCTTCTCTTTGCTGGATTACATACGCCATCAGATGCTGCTGGTCGCGTATGTGATTCAGATAAAATGATTCTGGCAAGGCCTCTTGCAGAAATATAGGATATTTTGCCCCTCAAGTCAGGAAGTGCGCAACGACTTTCTCGCCAACCGTACACTGATAGATCTTCTCAGAAGCTGATGATGCGATGCATATATGCTTGCGAAACTATCGCTTTCTGGTAAGCAAGTACCTTTTAAAGCAATTAGATATCATTTTCGATCATACATTCTGAGGCAGATTAGATTTTTTGTATGTTTTTTACCTTTTGAGGTTTGTCACGTCTTTTACAAATACTCTGGATTTACCTTTTTTCCATTGCTTTAACCATGCTCTGTTGCTGCCATATGCAGTACCAGAAGTCAGAATATACTGCAAAAGAATGATTAGTAGTCCTGAAATTGTCTCAATTTGTTTCAAGTTTGATGTAGACAGAATCAAGATAATAATTTCAGATGTTAAATGGAATTCTTTGCCGGTTTATATTACTCATGCTGTTGATGTTTAATAGCATCTAGATGTTACAAATCTTACTTTTCCCAAATTACTGGCATCTTCTGCTCATGAAAGTTTGAGATAATAAATAAATAAATGAGTAAGAAATGAAATACTTACTAAGCCTGCTCCTTTAAAATTTTTTTCAAATTAATTGTATATTAGATGACGGTGGTGATCGATATTTCGATATTTTTTCTTAAAAAGGGATGCGGAATTATAATGCTATGTATGCAAGTGTATTGTAAAGTTACATCAGATACTTAATTTTTCTATATACTTTTCTTGAAAACTTAAACTTCCACTTACATGATCTCATAAGTAATTTTCCATAATTACCTTCACTAGTAATCTAAGAAGTATGATACCAGGCAGAAGAGTAACGCGGGAAAACAACAATTTAGGATCTTCCCACATGTTTAAGAAGGAAGATTTTAACATGAGCTCTTTATGGACAATCCTGTTAAAATTTATTTTTCTCGCGGATTTTAAACGCCAAACAACTTCAACTAATAACACATGGTACTACATATAACTTCATGAGCTACTTTCTCTTAGACAGCCCTCCACAAAGGCATCCCTCTCATTAGGCAGATTACTTTCGTGTGTTTCACCACATTCTAACCTGAAATGTAACTTCGAAAACATAAATTATGATTAAAATCCATTAATAGCTTGTGATTTAATTAAGGTATAGGAAACTATTGATGTCACTGTTGTTTTAATTTAACTGATACATAGTACTTTGAAATTCCAAGGCTTTTGTTTACGTCATTAGTGTAAATATATTTTAAAAAAGTAGCTACAGAATTTTATGGGTTGAAAATGGATACAGTTGCAAATACGTAAACCCATACTCATATAACTCAAATTTATAATATTTTAAGCATTCACGTTTAAAACTCATGCTAGGAACTTATGAAAAAGGCCATAAAATTTATTATCGCTACATGGAATATTTTTTTATGATTGATGCGATTTCAGTTAAATGATTTTTAATATGCTTTTTATTTATTTCTAAAGTAGCTGAAATATTACTTACATTTATTTTTCTATTAACAAAAATGATGTTTTACATCAAACTAGAAGTGCTTTTGAAATATAAATCATTTTGTCATTCAGAAACGTACAGTAAGAATTTAATTCTATTATAACTATCTATCAACGCGTCATGATAAGTTTTTCTTTGATAAAACGCAGCAAACGCTTTTGCTTGACCTGCATGTATTTGAGACAAATGAAATCCAAGGTCACTGACAGTTAATCGTATTTTCTGTTCCATACTTGAATATGTTGGAATTGTGGGGAATGGGTTACGGTTTTTCGGCCCGTGAAATATAAATGCGAGTCACTTTGCTTTCGAAAATATTTCCTTGAAGTCACAGACATATAGCTTCGACCATTTTGATGCAATTACTTAAGAAAAATATTGTACACCAGATCTCTTTTAAATTCCTTCGGTAAAGAATTTAAATACAGTAATCCTCCGAATTACGTAAATAATGCGTTTCGTTAACCTTTAGGTAGCTTTAGTATTACGCAAATGAAATTTGTAGAACGCTTAAATATTACATTTATTATTTTTTTAAGTACATAAATATGTATATGTATTACTTACAGAGTATTGCTTTATAAATGAAATATCCTGCAGTTGTATTTACTCGGGTGTAAACTAAGAAAATATGAAAATGCAATAGAGTATGAACACGAGTTGAAATAATAGTTTTCAATTAGAAAACAATCTTACGAGTCGGCCCAGAAGTTGGATGATTGTACACGGCCGTTCCCACTGGGGTTTATCTGAGCTAACGGAGTCAGTTTCATGTGTCGACTAATGCCTGCAGTTCAGATTTTTCAACTTGCTGCCCTATGGGAAATGCTATTCTGTGCCATATTTCTATCCCTCTTGATGTTGAAGGCTGAGAGTAACCGGATATTTCTTTGTTATCTTGAAGATAGTGTACTCGGCATCTAACAGAGATGCCTAGAATAGAATCTGTGGTCATACGCTTTTTACTTGCCACGTTAATATCTGCATTTGCAGTCTCATCCGTGACTATGCTGCTCTGTAGATATGCAAACTTTAAATCCTTCGAATCATTCAAATTAATTTTAAATGCATTCTTCGCTTTCCGACGCAGGCCTTCTCTTGCAAATTTATATGGGAATACCTAGCCTTCTCATGAATAATCAGAAAAATCTACATTATCCGCTTCTATTGTAGAGTCATTAGGATTTTTTTAGAGGCAGAAAAGATGAAAATTATGCAACTACCTTCGCCGGCAATCGAACCACGGACCTCTGGAATACCGGCCCAGCATGCCACCGTTACACTATGAAGGCACGCTAGTAACTGGGAGAAATACCTTATATACTCTCCTTTTTTAAAGGGTGACTAGGGTTTTAGGGGACCTAGTCGCCAAATCCTTGGTGTGGAGAATCATCATCCACAACCCTTTTAGTTCGGGCGCCCCTTGTAGAGCCATTAGGATTTTTTTAGAGGCAGAAAAGATGAAAAATATCCAATCACCTTCGCCGAGAATCACGGACTTCTGGAATACCGGCCGAGCATGCTACTGTTACACCACGAAGGCATGCCAGTAAGTGGGAGAATAATCAGATCTTCAATCCAATAACACAGCAATTTCTCCATTTCTGAAATCGGGCTCAGCTACTTGCGTTGGTAATGTTTGTACTTCAGTGGTACCGCATTTTTCATGCTTTCAAAGATACAAACTTTATGAATTACTTTCGAATTCGCTAGAGAAATAAGTCGATTTATATTTAGAGCTGTTACTGATATAACGCTTTCATCTTCATTTATATGAAAAATTTTCGATTTTTCTTCTGCAGCAGTTGTAGACCTTTAATTTTAGATTTATGGTTTTGTGTTTTGAATCAATTTTAAGAGTAAATAAACAGCGAACACTAATAGCAATAAATAAGTGACTAAATGAATATTATCTGAATGCAAGAAATACGGGTCAGAAGTAGTGTCTTTGTTTCTAGTTAGTTTCAGTTTGGATGTTAACGACTTTGCACATGCGTATTACGTAAATCGGAGGAATACTGTATTTCTTGCTCTTTTCGGAAAGGAATGTTAAACGAAAATTGACATTAAGCCAATGGCTTCAGGTAATTTGAGATTTTTTTTTATTCTCAATAACTTTTATTTGCCTCTGCCATTAGATATTAAAAAATTGCTAAAGACAAAAATTCAGAAATTAGTTTGAGTGTTAGAATGGCTCTTTTTCAAAATACTTTTGAGCTACTTATTCCGTGTAATGGAGCTTTTAAAACATAGCTGCACATAGCATACAACGCAGTTACTGCATCTGCATGACGAAAACCTGAGTTTAATTCAGACTTTTTTTATGTACATATATGTTTAATGAAAACTAAAGTTTATTATTTCTTATAGTATAATAATTACGCTTATATCACACGCGAAACTTCAGGTTTAATGAAACGGAGGAATATTGTATGAAAACCCTTAATTATGGGAAAGTAACTAATTAAAACTTTACACCTGTGGTGTAAGGTTACATTCTTGAGGAGCCCACAAAAATATGAACAGGATTATTAAAGTTAATCTAGACTATTCTACTTTACAAAGTGAATCCAAAGGATTATCCCATATGCTTACTAATTGTAAAAAGATACATCTGGAATGATACATGAATAAAGAAAAAAGGGATACTACAGACATTCGCGATCTACATTCTTTAGGGAATTTGAGCAGAAAGGTACTCACATATTTTCCTACATTCTAGTTAGTTGTTTGTATAGAAAATGTTATTTATCAAATTAACTATCCCTTAAAAATATATTTTAATCAACTTCCAGATGAAGGAAAGCCTTTTAAAAACAGTGTTGATCTTGTATAAAAGTAAACAAGAAAATATATCTGGAGCAAACATCAACCAGTGACTGCTCTGAAACAAGTTGTTAGTTAAATTATAGTAGATGAAGCCCTAAATAGCATATTGCATTTGATTAGCTAAATTTGAAATAACTTTTGAAAGTTTATACTAAATTTAAAATTTTAAAATTGCATTATCTAATAAAAAATGAAGAATCAATTAATGAAATTATGAATTATGTTCTTGTGTAGAACAGAGTAATTTCGAATAAGAAGATGAATTGTTTTACTAGAATATTAAACATGAGTAACTTTCTATAAAAGTGGAAAATTCTTGAATGGAATCGATTGGACATTGAGCAACTTTAATCTTCCACGTGAAAACACACTCAAACTTGCATCAAAAACCAAAAGGCCCGTGAAAGTTTAATAGAGCTTACTAGTATACTAAAACGATGATATACAAATTACAAGCCTCATCCACAAATTCAAAAGAAGTCTATGATTCGTACATGCTAATAAACAATGCATACTGGCATGCGTTACAATGTGCAAAGAAACGAAAGCTCTTATTAATATTTGCACCTTGATCAATCAGAAACAAAGTAATATGCAAGAATGTAAAATAAAACAATATTTCTATGAGGAAAAGTTGGATATATATGTATGTATATATATATATACTACATTATATCTATATATCTATATACATGCAGATGTATATATATATACACACAGATATGCAGAGGAAACACACTTATTTAGGATCGTCTTACTTAAGATTTATAAGTTCTGCTGCCATATATCATATCGAGTTTTTGATGAAAAAGATGCATGAACATAGTATACCACCAATGTGCACAATATAGAGCTTTAGACTTCCTGTCTAATCATGTAATTTTGTAATTCTTCAGAAAAATTAAACAATTTCCCAGCTAAAGTTCATGGAGAGGGAAACAGAATAAAAAAGGTAGCAAAAGTGTTAATAAGTAAAAACAAACCGATTAAGAATCTATCGCATATAACAGCCACTTGCTGCCATTCGGAGCGGATATTGTCCTTTCGCTCTTGGTCGACTAACCGTGCTTCTTGACGTTCAATAGTCTCATAAACTTTATTAAGGACGCGAAGAAAGTGCCTTTCAAACTCCTCACTTGTCACATCGCTTCCTCCACTGTCCGTTTCTTTTCGGTGTCGAAGACGTGGCGAGAATGAATACCTTTCAATATGGTCCATGGCAATTTTTTCGTCCTTGGAAGAGGAATCATCAGAGAAAGGGTCTAACATATGCGGTGGCTGTAAAATATACATTTTATTAGTACATAACAGTGAAACATTTTGTAAACATCAGAAAACTGAGATATACTGTATAAGAGCACTATATGTCTGAAGTTCTAGAATAAGAATTCAGCAGGGTTCATTGTTGTTTAATACAGTCAAAAGTCGTTAATTCGGACACCCATAATCCGGAATGATCTATAATCCGGACCTCAAAGCTACAAACTTTTGCGCATGCGTCGAGTTCACGATGGCACAGGCGTTACGAGAGTGCGTAAACCCTTACGGCTGCGAATATTTTGTGCGCATGCGCGTTTAAGTGTAACGGAGTTATACACTAAGCTAAAGTTATCTAATTCAGTTAATGTTGCAGATTGCGTGTTCCTTGATCTTCGAATTGGATCTGGCTTATTATTTTTTGCAGACTGTTAGAGCAATTTTATAAAAGTAAGCTTGAACTTTCGATTATGTCAAATAGAATTTCCGATCCTGATGAACTGAGCGTACGTAACGTCAGTAATAGTAAGAATGGTGATGACGGTAACAGTAATAGCTCAGTTTCGGGTGCGAATAATGTATTGTAATTCTGCAGCAATAATAATATTAATACCCTTTTACTCTGATGTCAAGTTACACAAATTATTTTGTTCCTTCTTTCCATTTAAGCAAATCGACTGTAAAAACTAACCCATAAAAATGTTTAGAAAGCGCATAAATAAACCTAAAAATGAACGACAATAGTGATGCCTCAGTGTTTTACTAAAGGAATACGTTTTATGTAAGAAGATGTATTAATATGACTACGAAATTATAAAATGATGATGGTGACGGTGTTGGTGAATCAGAATTTAATTAGATTTGTAGACGTGGAAGAATAACTATATTCTCCTAAAATCAAATAGAAAGATTAATTTGGCGGTGAGCTTCTGTGTAAGGGACAGCGTAAACAATGATACTATCTGCTAGCGTAAATCTGCTGCTCCCATGAACTAACTCTTTAAGTCAAGCCCGTGAACTAACTCTTTAAGTCAAGCAGATTTTATTACATGCATGGAAGACACTATCTGTAGAACCTTTCGTTTGGGAGACTTTTCGTAAATAAGAAAGTCATTCTTGTACTAATTCGAGTAGTCCATAATCAGAAAAATTCATCTATTTAAATTTTTTGAAATACGCGTTCATGAAATGACTGTTGATTTATTAGCATATTTCCATAAAAATATTGACATTTTAAATGGAAATTAAAAATATCTTACTTCATCTTTTCGTTTTTCGCTCTTCCACCTGCAGCTGACAAACACTACTTTAGCTAAGAAACCAAGAATGAAGCGTCGCATGGACTGAGGTATTTCTGTTCCACGATTTCCCTTGTAATGGACGTTCAAGGTAAGAATAGAAAATGCAGTTGCAAAAGCTACAAGACATACTGTTATTCCATAATACAGACCTAAAATTTTAAACTCAAAATTAACGATAAGTAAGAATGTTTTGTAAGCCAGCATACTATTATTATACTCGTATGAATAGTCATTAAAACAAATAAGACCAAAACACAAATACGAACTTTAGCTGGATAATAGCACTGAGTGATTCTTTCATTAGAATACATTGCAATAATTTACACAATATACCCTTATTAACAGTATCAGAGTCATCAATAGCATGTTCAAGAATGATTTCCTCCTTGACTTATATTTATCTGCTTTATAAAGTTATGAATGGATTTGATACTATGAAACATGTGTATTATGTTCAAAAGAGTTAACTGTCAGTTTGAGCTTCTTGTTTAATTAGAAAATTGTTTTTAAATGTGAAGCAGAATTTAATGAAAGCTTGATAATGTGCTTGGAGAGGGCTCTGTTAAGGAAAATCTACATTTCTATGCTAGTCATAGGGGAAAGGCCCCAAAGAGTAAAATATTCACTACACCTTAGTTAGTTAAGAACAAATGTTTCATACCTTGGAGACTTTTATGTTTATTAACCCATTATTTTATTTTACAAATTTTTTACTAACATTCCTATTTTCATCTGCTTTTGGCAGCTTCTAGAAGGCCTGAACTAAAGCTTACACATGTACTTTGCCCCGTGAACTGCATACCTTAATTATTAAATTTTACATTAACTTTTAAATTTCGTTAAATACCGCAAGAAGCAGTGACTCTGTTAATTACACAGGCCATGTAAGATGTTAAGTTCTAAAATAATGCTTCATTTTTAAATCTTCTGAATTATTTCTCTGAAAAACTAGATCTCATGACTATCTACACGGAGCCAGAGTCTGAACCTCGAGTCTCTGGCCAATCCCGCACCAAGTCTGAACTTCAGCCTTGGTGCGTGAAAGTGCAGTTACCCCTCGCTTATTATTATTTTTTTTGGACTTCGCTAATTTTTTTTGCGTTTTAGTCTATGTGTTATTTGTTTGATCAGATAGCCTGGCTCAGTAAAAGTAGGCGACCAGTGTAACTCTGATTCAAAATCTGGTTACGACCACGTGCAGTGTTGATAACGACTACGTGTTTCTGAGACTTCTTTGCCGATGCTTTATTTTTCTTCTTTTTTCCCCTTTCTAGTAATTTCGTTCTCCTGATGAAGAGTGACCTTTAGCTGCCCTCGAAATTGATGAGTGTTTTAATATATGTATGCTAAATACAAGGTTGTTATTGCGATTTTGATTGTTTACACAATATTCAATCAGACAATCTTAAGAGACATTTGTACACAAAATAAAGATCCAGCTACGAATTTAACATGTGTAATAGGGGACCCATTTTCACGCATCTGTTGGTTTTTGAAGGGCGCAACTTTGAAAAGAAGCTTTTCGAAATGATACCATTAAGTGGAATCAATGGATTCAATAAAATCTTTCTGTAAATGTCAAAGAGTAAGAATGGAAGAAGAGACTAAAAGGGTCTATATTTTCTCCTTCTTTTCCGCATGCCTTCGGGGTTGTAATTGGAACCTTCGGGGTGTAATTGGAATATTTAAGATTAATACTCGATGCGTATTCGCGAGACTGCGAGAACACTGCACGGCGGCAAGGACACTGCACATTTGCCTACTTCAAAATAATCCAACGACTCTACAGGGCCGTTCAGCCGTTTATCTGAGCTAACGGAGACCTCTGACATAGTCGACCCATCTCCAAAACCAGTTTTTCCCCCATAAGGCAGCGGGGTGAAAAATTTGAACTGCAGCTATAGCGGAGCTAGCCGACACATAGAACTGACTGCGTTAGCTCAGATAAACCCCAGTCTAAATGACAATTACAAGTCAATTAGGTGATAATATTAAAGCACATTTTCTGATACCGTGCTAGTTAATACAAGATTCCTTTGCTACCCTGCATTAGCATCTTAACTAAGTTTAGGTTAGATAAAAACTGGGTCAATCCAATTACAGAGAGTCAGGCTATAAAGTAAAACAAATATTGCAATACCAATGCCGTACAAATTAAAAGACTTATGTTTTAAAGAAACATGAGAAAATAACAAAAACATTTAACGAATGTTTTCTTATTATTCGTATGATCTACCGTCTGAGTCAAGCTGGATTATATTCAATCCAGCTTGACTCAGCCGGTAGATGACAAATGCTGATACATCTACGATGGAACCACTAATCGCAGAAATCAGCACTTTTCGGTTTATAGTTCTTCCTAAACTTTTTCTGAAGCGTTTTGATTTTAAATAGTAATACACGTAGAAAATTGATTCTCCATTAATAAATTTATTCATAAATACCTCTTTGAATTCTGCAAATTTAGGTACGAAATGTTTTGTTTTTAGCAAATTAAAATGTAATCGTTATTTAACAAAGTGTAATTTTAATTCTGTATTATTCATAATAATGCTAAATTTTAAATTTTACAGCACTTTCCCAACTCACCATACATAGATCGATTTCTTAAAACTCTACACCGTATTTTATGACACTTTGTAAATGGAAATGCATGGCTAAGATCAATACTTGAAGAAATAAATCCCTTTGGACATGCATACTTATAAACTGTCGTGAAAAATTAAAAAATAGCTTGGGAAACTTGTATGCCCATATAATTACCAATTAAATACTTGTAGAAGTAAGCAAATACGATGAAATGAAATTAAGCTTAAAATATTTTGTAGAGTTCTCATGTACTTAACCGTTTGTTAATTATGGCTATATGTCAAGTGTCGGTTAATTTTGGGCAAGTAACCAAAATAAATGCAATCAAAATAATAACCAGCCAAATGCCTTATTATCAAGACTTAACGATAACTGCTTTTGTTAAGAAAAATAAAACATGCTATTCTTCGTAGGCTAAATGGTGCAAATTAGACTTCCTAGTTAAAATCAAACAAATTACCTATGAAAGGCTACAAATATACTTTACCCGATTATCAACTGTTATAAGTTTAAGAATGTATCCATTACTCATCGGCTCATAACTCCATACGCCTTTTCGTAATTTCCATTTTAAGCAAGGCCATGTACTTGAAAAACATGTTCCTTACTCTGCAATGGCTGTGTATCGTTAATATGTGTGCATAGCACGTATAGGGGCAACATTTTCAGAATGTCATTTAGATGCATAATGGAGTGTCATCTCGTATTGCTATAACTACAAAACAATTGCTTTAAGATTATTGCTGTGGTCTCCATGCTCCTGTAATTTAATACTGAAGAATCTCAGGCTGTAAGTTTAACTACTTATTCATTTCCAGCATCTATTGAAACAATTCTTGTACAAGGAGCCTCTTGAACGAAAAAATCACGAGAAAAGTAGGTTACATCAGTGCTGTCATGTGCGTCATGCAGCTTGTCTCTGAAGCTGACCGTATGCAATGTAGCTTGGTAGCAGCAGCAGCAAGCATATGAGCTTTTGTAAACGTCTGTCATAAATAAAGACATTTTAAACTGCTGTTCAAATTGTTTGTTTTTCTAGTATATTTAAAACCGGTATCTCTATGATTTTTAAGTTGTACATACACTGCTACTCATTAAAACTGCAACACTAGGAAGGAATGATCTGATGAACGTCAAAATCACATAAAAGGAAGCCACCATCATGTGAACGCAACCACTGTCATGTGAATATGGAATCACTGGTTTGTTGAGGGTCATACTAAACGGTATGCAGGATCTCAATGCCCTCCCATCATTAACCCCCGAGTGGACAGACATATTGGGAGGTCAGCGCTGCAAAACCGTACAACCACATCATGGACCATTAGTCAGGAAATGAGTATATTTGCAGCACGCCCAGTATTGGCTCATACGGTGCGTCAACGTTTGCAGCAGCATAGAGACTATCAGTATAGCAACCATTACTTCGGCTTCCCTTGACAATGCAGCATAGAGAAAGAGAGACAGCGACTTTGATGCGCCGAACGACAAAGCTGCACACAGGACACGCACATCTCTAGTTCAGATCGATGATAATTTGAACGCAGATCTGACATCTTACGTCCAGTGGTTGTGCCTTATCTTCGATGCCTGCCAAACGCCATCTTCCAACAAGATAATGAAAGATCACATGTTGCACGTCGTGTTTTGACCTTCCTCGATACACAGGGTATTAGATTGCTGCCCTAGCCTGAACGGTCTCCAGATCCGTAACTCATTGAAAACATCTGGTCATGGGTTGCTGCGAGACTGGCCCGCCACCTCTCTCCAGCTAATACGATTGATGAAGTGGGGCATAGACTTCAAGTAGCATGGAGTGAGTTGCCCGTTTCTGTCATCTAAGCCCAGTTCGACTTCTTGCCTAACCAGGCAAGGGCCGCTTTAGATGTCGAGGCTGGTAGCTGTTTCTACTAATTTCGCCGCCCTGTAAACTCCGAACCGCTTACAAATTTAATAATTTTATCATCATGCCTTGTTGTGTATGTACAATAAAAATCTTGTTTTTAGTATTTGCTTTCCTTCATGGCGTTGCAATTTTAATGGCCAGCAGTGTACATCGTAAAAATGTTTCATATCTTTTTTCAATCATATAAAGTTTTCTCACATTGTAAAATTCTGGTGTCTGTGCTCGTAAGTTCAAGAAGCGGTTTCGTGAACTGGAAATATTATGCGCATTCTGTATCTCTTTTCGCATATCGCGAGAGATCCCCATTAGCTTGACAAGTTATTTTAGGCTATCTTCTTACTTGCAAAAACAAAAGCATAGACTAATTCCACCTTATTTCAGACACGACCTGGGATTAATTGATTTAATTTATTTGTGATGCAATGTGCGTCGATGCGGATGAAATATTTTAACTTTTGGAATTCTTTGAATTTAATTAAACCTTTCCAAATGACAGATGGGGAGTTTGTCTCTTGGTACAAGTAAATATGGACGGATGATTTAAAATATGGAATTCATTTCTATTTATGAACTTAAACAATAACTGAAGCTTGTCACATTTTGCTGTCTTTTTTCCCTCAGATGATAGCGAGCGTATTCTCTGCATTATTCTTTTTAAAGAAGTGAAGGAAGATAAATGTATGTTCTAAGCAGGTTTTATTTCTGTTACTGCATTTTGTTAAATACGTACACACATCTTGAGAACTCAAGCTGTCATTCATTCATTATATGCAGTGTGCAATAGATAAGCTATTTATATACAGATATGAAACAATATTTCAATTTGGTTTATTTAGTTATGGCAAAGCTTCTAGGGCTATCTGCCTGAGGGCAGGGATGCCTCGTGGAGGACTTTCTAAGGGAAACTGGCTCGTATACACGTAATGCATGGGGAAAAACACAAAAACATCCATGCAGCCAGTCCGTTCGCGGGATTCGAACCTCGGACCAAATTACCAGTGTTCAGCAACTTTACCGCTCGGCCACTGGTGAGCCCAATATTTCAGTGTCATACTGTTAGTACTAAGATTCAAAAGAAAGTTAAAATATTAAATTCATGTAATCGTATAGGGAAATTAGAGAAAATGCATGAAATCCAATGACACAAAATCTTACGACATTTGCTTAACCTAGAGAGAGTTATTTTATTTTAAAATTCTTTCCTACACGATAAAATGTAAGTTCTTATAATTACGTATCGCCCAGTAAAAATGTAATAATAAGATCCATTCGCCTTTCAAAACACATGAAGAGCTAATTTGATATAAATTTGAAAATCTTATTTTAAAAAAAAATGTCATTTAAAATATTTGGCATTTTCAAAAGAAAACTAGACAAGCATAAAAATACATGCATATTAGGCAAAAACATAATAAATATGTAAAAATGTTTTAGTACGTTTTCGTTAAAACCACACCATTTGGGGTCGCTTTTCGTTTTGTTTTGTTTTAGCATATTTCTTCATAAAGAGATATGATTTGGCTTCATTTTTGGATGAATTCTTACTGCAATAAATTCCGTGACTTGGTATTTACCAAGAAATTAAAAAGTGGCTACCCTGTTTTCTTTACGAAAGAGATGGTATCTATAAAGAAAGATTGTGATTGAAATAACTGCCTCGTGAAATTCAAATGTGACTCGATACAAAAACGGTTATGCAACCTTCGCTCATGTAGAGAAGAAAAAAGGGTGCCCCAATAAAAACATAATTTGTGGGACTACGCAATCCTTTCTTAATTCATTTACTTGTATGATTTTTACGATTCATTTACTTATGGTAACTGGTAATTGAAAGATAGATACATAACCCCCCCTACTTAGGCAAAGTTACTTAGCCCTGTGAGCCTTATAGTCTACGTTCGACTATAAGGCTCACAGGGGCCTGCTCAGCCAGTAGCCACCGTGAAACTTAAAAAGTTATAAAAAAAATAACAAACCAAAAGTAAACTGATGAGCATAAACTTATCAGACCACATAAATAAAACGAAAATAATGAACTCGAAGAAAATTGGTTACACATTTACAAAAAATTACACGTAAAAAAAAATAATAAGCACACATACAACCACAATTATACCAAATTCAATTTTCTTTCCATACATTTACCAAACAATTTTCTCTGCCACTCTCTTAAGATTTGTATAGATTTTAAAATCTATTACCAAGTCAGACTGATGATTCTGAAAAACATTCTAGCTGCCCGATAGGTCTCGACGAAGAGAACATTATCGCCCTTAATATTACACATTTTATTGTTTTTATTTTCTTGAAGTTTAAATCTAAATAAATAGGCCAGTAATACTGTGGCCTATTACTCATGGTATCAGGAATGAACGCTATTTAGGTTTAAGAATCAAAGCTTGCTTCATACGAAATGCAACACCCCGGCCGGACTGCAATAATAACATAATAGAGGTATGTGCCAATTGCTTGTTGTCTTGTCTGAAGGTAAATGTTGATGGGTGAAATAAAATTGGGGGAATTGCTAATAACTTATTCACAAAAAAGACAGAAATAACGCAAGACGTGCTCTTCTCCCACAATAAGTTTTTGAGGTTAGGTTAGGTTAGGTTATTTAGTTACAGCAAAGCCTCGAGGGCTATCTGTCTAAGGGGAGGGATGCCTTCGTGGAGGACTTTCTAAGGGAAACTGGCTCGTATACACGTTACACATGGGGAAAACCACGAAAACGCCCATGCAGTCAGCCCGTTCGTGGGATTCAAACCTCGGACCGAACTACCAGTGTTCAGCGCTCGGCCGCTGGTGGGCCAAAAAGTTTTTGAGGACTTGGTCTTGAAATATAAAGCATATTTCTTCTTGTTGTTCACAATTGCTCTGTTTCCTCTAGTATCAAGTCAAAGCGTGGGGAAAGAAATAATTTAAAATGCGCCAATATAGCACTGCAAATGCGTGATATAGTTTTAATGGTTTAGTTTGTTTAATTATGGCAAAACACACAAGGGCTATCTGTCTAATGTAAGGGATGTCTTCGTGGAGGACTTTCTAAGGGAAACTTACTAACCAAAAAAAGTCCGAAGTTCAAATCCTGTGAACCGGCTGGCTGAATGGGCACTTTCGTAGTTTTCCCTGTGTATAACGTGTATACGAGCCAGTTTCCCTTAGAAAGTCTTCCACGAAGGCATCCCTTCCTTTAGGCAGATAGCCCTCGAGTGCTTTGTATATAAGTATTACATTTTTGGAATCGTTTAAGTTATTTTTTGGGGTTCAAAATCAAAACTTTGAAAATTTAGGCCGTTTTATGTACTATGTGCCCTTTTGAAAAAATTATAAAAATGTTTAATATCTGACTCAGAATTTTCTTGTAACACTCCGAAATCTTTGAGACAAGTTCTGATGAATGTCATCTTCCTCCACTTTACTAGAAACATCGCTGTCTTTCACATTGTATACAATATCATCTTGATTTACGGCCATATTACTGCACATAATTAAAAAATCATAAATTTTTGTTTAAAACTAGAAGAGTATGCAGTTCTTTTCTCTTTCAGCATACTTCGCTATGGTGCAGAAATTGAGAACCATAAATTGCTCACAAAAGCGAGAAGAAAGTTGAAAGGGGATATATTGTGATCGCTTGAAAATGGTTATCACGACTAATAACAAAGTAAAGTCACTGAGCTATTGCTGAAGCGCAATATTAAAGAAGGGTTTTCACGAATCATTTCTTATCTGGAGAACAGGTGCGGTTCCAAATACTGAACAGTGGTTGCTTTTGTAAGAATTGATTTGGCTTGATTAAGGCAAAGCACTCGCGGGCTGTCTGCCTCAGAGGAGAGATGCCTTCGTGGAGAACTTTCGAAGAGAAACTGGTCCGTATCCACACTGTACACGGGGAAAACCACGAAAACGTACATAAAGCCAGCCTGTTCGCTGAATATGAGCCCGAGTCGAACTACCACTATTCAGCGACTTTACCGTTCAGCCTCTGGTAAGCTTGTAAGGATTGTTAAGTAGTATTTGCACAGTGTTCTCCAAACAGTTGTGGCCCACAAGCGGCCGAGTACTTAAGTCACTGAACACTTGTAATTCGGTCCGAAGTTCCAATCCCGAGAACGGGCTGTCTGCATGGGCGTTTTTGCGCTTTTCCTCAAGTGTAAAGGGTATAACAACCAGTTTCCATTAGAAATCCCTCCGGGAAGGCATCTGTCACATTAGGCAGATAAGCCTTGAGTGATTTGTTGTAATAAAAAATAAACCATAAACATCGCGAAAGGACTCGTGGTTTCGTGTCTTTCTAAACATGTGATGTGGATAAAAGCCTCTTCCCTTTAAAAAAGTCCTCTAGGAAGGTATTCTTTCGCATAAGCAAATACCCCTCGAGACGCATTACCTTAATCAAGTAACCTAACCTAATTTTCTATTTGTTAACTGTTGAATGTTTTCGTGTAGAATGATATTTATACAAATTCGACAATTGATTTCTTCTAGCACTTAAGAAATTATTTTCTAAAATAAAAGTATAAAAAAGAAAATTATTTTGCCACTACTTACTAATAAGAGGCGTCTGCTGTGTCGGTGGCAGGTTGTCTTTTACCAGCACGAGAAAGATCGAAAGGGATAATAAAGTATTGATACCAAGAGTCACTTTTTCTCCGGAGTCTGAAGGAACACAAAATGCTAATAAAGAAATGCCATTGATGAGAACACAAGGCAATATGAGATTGAAAATGTGAAGCATTGGCCGGCGTCGAATTTTGATGACGTAAGTAATGTCTGGGTAATTTTCATCGCAGCAAGAATATCTCTCGCTGTTGACTTGAGAAGAAAATTCGTCTAAGTCAAATTCTCCATTTGGCTGGTAATGAGTAAAATCACCATAATCTTTGACACGGGTCAAATCCAACTGTAAGAAATTAAAAGAAAAATTAGGCTAATATTATATCAACAGAAAATAAATCTTGGTACTTACATATTATCGCAATCCCCTTAACAGAAGTCACCAAATTTTCAGAATGGACCAAACTCTGACAATCAAGTACATAAGCATTCTTCAAGCAAACATGCTCATAACAGTCCTTCAGTCAACCAGTGTTGACATTTTCGTATTTATTTAGTTGTATTTTAAGTTCTAACGGTTTTTATGAACAAATCAGGACATTCTTTGTTTTTAATTGAATCTTAAAATACCGCTTGTAGAATTTTCCAACAGCGGAAAAGACGTAAAGGTTCAGCAGACATACAGTATTTTTTTGCAAAATAGCTAAAGGAAACAATGATGAGATGAGTTTGGTAGAAAGCCTCATGCAATGCCGAGTTAGTAGAATTCTGATTTTTTAAAGAGAAAACAGATTGATTTGTACATGGGAAAAATAACAGTGATAAAAAAATTAGAGAAGAATTTTCTCGTAAAATGTAATTTTTTATTTTTTTAATGTGTCATATAATCCTTATTTTAAAATGCTTTTTCTTTTGATTTGTTGATAATGTATGCTGACTTATGATAACTATTAATACTTTGGGAATGTTTATAAAAAAATTTTGTGAAATTCGGCAGCATGCAGCCGATAAGTAATTCTTACATTTTTGTCTGTAAGACTTCCAGATTGCGCCAAGGTAAATTTAGTTAACACGTAAGTACCAAAATCTTAAATAAAAGAAATAATTAACAATATTTTTAAAAAATCTGAAAATTTGATCATTTTCTTTCTTTTATTTCTTTTAATTAGCCCAGGTCTCTTTCAACCTGAAATGAAGAGTGATTATTAGCCAAATTCTGACAATTGTCATCAGAGAACTCTTGATTTGCTTTTTCCGCGTACGTCACAGACTTAAAAGTTTTTTGATAATATCGGAAAATATAACTGTTACGACTGTGTTCTTTTTCACAAGAAGGCATAAATCTTGTGATTATAATTAAATGCTTCCCTGTTGATCCGCTTGTTAATCTTCGATGATCGACCAGCACCCAGAGCTGTAAATCCAAATTCAAAGACTCTCCATAAGTATTCTTTAATTTCTATTAAATACGTTAAATCTTCTAACCTAAATATGTTTATCTATGTAATATGTTAATCTTCCGAGGCTAACAGACTGTGAGAATGACTTCTAATTAATGCTTGTATAAAGGAGCTTTTATTGCTAGGTTGTGTTAAGAATTATAATTAAATTTGCACTTGCACAAATACGTATTTTATTCGTTCTAAAATATAAGTAAAAGAAACTGACTGCCATGAGATCAATTGTATGTAGTTATATTGAACTCTAGTAATTATTCAACACATTTAAAATGCAGTTTAGCTAACTGAAGAGAATACGCAACGAAAAGGGAAATTGTCTTTATAATGCTAAATTAGTTGACGAAGTTTCCAGACATTCGGGTAGTAATTATGATGAGACGTTTGTTTCAGTTGCCAAATAGACGAAAATCAGAACGTCTGTTTTTTCGAGTACGTCCCACGAAGGTTTGAAAATGCTTTTTATAGAAATGAAAACAGCGTTACTTAATAAAGTGGAAGCAGACACTTTCATTTAACAACTAAAATTAAAGGTGAAGAGAATAATGTCTGTAACCTGAGAAAAGCTTTACACACCGTATAACATAAGTAAAAAAAAAATTTTTTTAAAGTCCATTCCTACTTAGGTCAGAGCCAGTTTCCCTTAGGAAGTCCTCCACGAAGGCATCCCTTCCCTAGGCAGATAGCCTTAGTGCGCTTTGCCATAATTAAATAAACAAAACTAAACCTACTTAGGTCAAAGAAGAAAATTTTTAAAAAAGCAAAGAAAATTAAATTAAAAATTAATTAATTATTAATTTATTAAAGTTAAAAATTTATATAATAATACTATTTGATATATAACAATTTAATATATAAAAATTTTTAATATGTGAAAAACTGTATTAACATCAAGTGTCATGCACTACAAGTTTAAAAACGTATTTGAACTTGAGAGGATGAATAAAAAGTATTTTATTAACGACTAAAATAATTAATTAATAAAGAATTAAATAACGGACTTTTTTACAGTCAATTCCTACTTAGGTCAACATAGAATTAAAAATTTTAATAATTTTTAATATGTGAAAAAACTGTATTAACATCAAGTGGCATCCACTACAAGTTTAAAAAAGTGTATTTGAACTTGAGTGGATGAATAAAAAGTATTTTATTAACGACTGAAAATTTGAACAAGGTATAGACAGAGTGGGAGCTAATAGTAAGAAAAAAAAAAAAAAAAAAAAAAAAGAGACGCACCAAGGAGTTATTTGAATGGGATGAAACTGCATATTGCTTTACGACAGAATATGCAAACCATACTTTATGAGAGAATATGCAAATGATTAACTTTTGGCGGCCAATAATTGATTAGCTGGAGTTCCAGCGCATTGCGACGGAGAATGCGGATGGTGTATAAAACAAAGGACATTAAAAAACTGACTGGCTGCATGGGCATTTTCATGGCTTTCTCTATGTGTAACGTGGATACGAGCTAGTTTCCCTTATAAAGTCCTCTATGAAGTCGTCCCTTCTCTTAGACACCTTGCTCTCGAACCAAATAAACCAAACCAAATGAACCCTTCCTGAGTATAAATAGTGATTTAGCGCTTAGAACATCTAGTTAGCTGGGAAAATCTGTCGTTAGATTCCCACTAGAAGCGAAGATATAATTTTTCAAGTATCTCTCTTCGAAAGGTGTGCCTTATGAACGCAAATGTAGATGATGATGAAACGCCACCACCTAGATTTAGTTGACTGTGTCTCATGGTTCTTCCTAATCTCCCTTTAAGTGATGTGGAACGTAAAAATAATATCACATTCTTCCCAAGCGTTCCATTGTGCTGTAGATTTTAGTAGTTAGCAACTAAACTGGATGATTCGTTATTCGATAGAAAAGCTGCAGTGCATTTTTAACCCGTTCGTGACCAAGGTCGCGTGGACGCGACGCAGCGATTCCACTCTTATCAGCCCAGCGTCGCTTCCACGCGAAGAGCTCCGATTGATATGGAGAGACCAGCGTCGTGTATGCGTAATCGGAACGTTTTATTTGAATTTTTAAATGCTACTAGATAGCGTTAAACGGCAACGGTTTTCACAGTGGTCGACTCATATGGTATTTGACCTTCATGAACGGGCATTGGTTTCTGTTCTATGCTTCTGTATTTGATATATTTATTGATGTAAACAAAGTGAGAATCACGGCTCTTTAAAGGGCTGAGATTTATTGCTCGCTGTGTTTATATTTTAACAGATTGTGGAAATTTATGGAACGTTTATTAGTTGAAATGTTGGAATAGAATTGCGTTTGTCTTTTGAGGTTTGACAGAGCGAGATTTCGAAATAGATGAATTAATCAAATAGTGAAATGGAAGAAAGAATTTCTTCTAGTTAATATAAACAAAACTGGGAAACACGGGTGTTTGAAAGGGCACGTGTGAGTTCAAGTGACTTGTTTATTGCTTTGTTTTTTTCATTAGGAGAATATGGGGGAGTACATTCAGCGGATTAGCAACGGGTAAGAGTAAAATATTGATGTTCGGTTTTGGCGCCTTTTTTTTTTTTTTTTTTTTTTTTTTTTTTTTTTTTTTTTTATTATGTGTGTGTTTCGTAGAAGTTTAGGGATATGTGATCGGAAAATTCAGTGAATTTATTTGCATTTAATGACAAAAAGAAAAAAGTGCTGATGTTATCAACTATACATGACGGTGTTATTGTGCCAATTGGTAAAAGAGATCGAAAGACTGGAAAGGACATTTTGAAGCCACTCTGCGTTGTGGAGTATAATCACAATATGGGGGGTGTTGACATTGGCGATTCTATTATTCATCACTATCCAGCATTTAGAAAAACCGTAAAATGGTATAAAAAGCTGTTTTTTGGTTTGTTAGATATGGCACTTCTAAATGCAAATGTAATATATTCGAAGGTAAAAGGCGAGAAAATATCTGCTTTGGAATTCAGATCCTGAGTTATTCATCAAATAATAGGAAAATTTGCTAAACCAAGGAGCTCAAAAAACTTGTTCAAAATTACCGGGCATTCAACCATTTCGTCTAACTGGTAGACATTTTCCAAAAACTTATATTGATGGGAAAGGAAATAAAAGTAGAAGAAGATGTGTCGTATGTGCTAAAAAAAAATCGAAAACAAACATCATATTATGAGTGCAAAATATGCAATGTTGGACTCTGTGTGGATCCTTGTTTTGAACTATATCACACACAGCAGAATTTTTAAATTTCGATTTATTCAGAATACATTATTATTCTTAATTTCCTCTTTTTTTATTTTGTGTTTGTAATATTTGCAGCTTTGTTTTATTGTGTATAGTATTTGTTTTTCATGTGCATAGTAATAATTTTAGTTTTTTGCATATTTCATTCATTTGTATTAACGTTATATTTTTTATTTTAATACATATTAAATAGAAGTATAGTAATATTATAATTTATAAATTTGGAGTCTTTTTATTAAAATGCTGATTTTATACGAATTTTTTTTGTAAACTTAGGCTTAACTGCTTAAAATGCGCGGGCCGGTAGTGACGCTCCGTTTCAGAGCGTTCGTTCCCGTGACTGAGTTTTATTTCCGGTGCGCTGGTCCTCAAGGGGTTAAAGCTTCCTGCTTGGAAAGTCTAATAGTTTTTATATTTTAACAAGGTAAAAGATATTTTTGAGGGGTGCTTCCTATAATATCAATTATTAAAAAGAAAAAAAACAACAACATAGAAACGTTTAACAGAATGCATTTCAAGCGGTGGGAAAAGATTTATGAAATAAGAAAAGTTAATTCTAAGTATTAACTACAAGGGGCTTTTCATGTCTCAGAGACGATGGGAAAATCTCAGAACCGCTTTTAAATTATTCGTAGCTAACGTTAATTATTTTACTTGATGAGCTGTATAAAATATTAGATATTAGTTACTGGCAATGAGAATAAACTAATAACCGCTACAGCTTTAAACACAGATTATGTAGTAGATAGTACTTCTAAACATGCATCACCGGAATTTTAGCATTAATCAGAGCAAATGTTCCAGAAATGGTTAACAACCACTAGCTAGTAAATATGTCATACGTGTAATGTATGCTAAAGTCGCTTTAAGTGATAAATCTTGTTCCGATTCATTACTCCTTTTGGCTGATTTCACAGCCAAGACTCGCATGGGTACATCTATACGCAAACTCGTTCGTTGCTATCTATACGCAAACAAGCTCCTTTTAAGCCTAATCTTAATTATTTATTTTTGCAATTATTCCTCGAGGATATGTTCAGTGCAAATAATTTTACGTACATGCAGAGGTTTCCCAAAAGAACCAATAGTTGTGAGTCTGGAATAACAACGGTTTCCAATACGTCAGGATGATGGAAAATACAATGTAAATTTGAGCAGGCAGTTCGCTGATTATCTTTAAAAAAAGTGAAGATGGTTTGGTTGAAAAAAAAAAAAAAAAAAAAGAGCGAAGAGCTGGCTGCATGGCTGTTTTCGAGGAGAAAACCATGAAAACACCCATGCAGCCAGCCCGTTCACGAGATTCGAACCTCACACCGAACTAGCAGTGCTTAATGACTTTACCTCTCGTTCGCTGGTGAGCTCGAATTAGTTTAAGAAAGGTAGGACATACTTCTTTTGATAGTACATAGGTTGCCATCTTTCTTTTGCAATACATAAATTCTCCTGTTTGCAGGGATTTTACCCAACAACAGAGGCATAGCTAGGGTTTTCAGTGCCCAGAGACAACTGAAGATTTTGCGCCCCTTTCTCTGTACCAAGAACGAAAAACATTTCATTTTAAAATTTTGTAACCTCAATTTGGCGCCTCGTGAATGCTGCACCCGGGGACAGATGTCCCCCCTTGCCCCACCCTAGCTACGCCACTGCCCAACACTAGGGATTTTTGGAAGTAAAATTTTATTCCTTGGATATCTCTTTCGCTCTCTGAAAGGCTATTTTCTTTCTACGAAGTTACCAAATTGGATCCTTATCTCTTCAGACAATCATTTATCATCCTCTTTTAAAAGATCCTCTGTTGAAAAGCCTCTATGTCTCTTTTAAAGGGATGAATTAAATATTTTTAATTTGAATCCCCTTATATTCCTACCAGATGAAGTACAGATTTCTTATTATATGAGAGATTCAGCTGGTATTTATGATACAAAGGGAAAAGCTAGGTCTTGAATGCATAAAAATCTAAAACTTACAATGTTTAAAAATTAGATGTTATGCACCAAAAGTTGAAAACTAAGCTTTTTGGTTTATTTAATTATGGTAAAGCACACTAGGGTTATCTGCCTAAGGGGAGGGATGCCTTCGAGGAGGACTTTCCAAGGGAAACTTGCTTGCATAAACGTTGAAAATTAAGAAACATTGACATGGTACATATTTTATCTTCTGTGCCAAGAACAATGTCTATTAAAAATTGAGAATTTCACAAATTAATAATACTTTTTTTTGGATGGGAGTCATTATATTTACTTTTCTTAGTTTCAACTTGAATATAATATATAATTTGCTAATATTTTAACAGCAGTGTTTCATTTAATTATACTCATATTCAAATGTCGTCATTTTTATAAACAAATAAATAAAATTCTGTAACATATTGTTAAATACACTACTGTAATTTGTTTTCGCACAACTAACATTTAGAAAGTTTCGCTAAGGCTTATGTTATTCCTTGTAACCAGATATGAAGCAGAGCTGATTTGCAATGTAATCAACTATAATCTTAAAAGAAAAAGCTTTGACTAACGTCTTTACTCCTTTTTAAAATTCGGCCAGGTTCACGTAGAACTAGATCATGTTCTGCTATTTGCTGTTAGTGCATTATTCTTCGTTTTTCGTAATTTTTCTTGGCTCACTAGCGGCCGAGCGGTAAAATGGCCGAAAACTGGTAGTTCCAACCTGCGTTTGATTACAGGAGTCATGTTTTTACCCATGTGTAACGAACGTGCCTCAGAAAGTCCTCTGCGAAGGCATCTCTTCCCTTAAGCAGATAGCCCTAGTGTGCTTGGCCATTAATCAACCAAACCATATTTTTTCTTGCCCTCTCGCCATTTTGTCACTTCCCTCAGCCTCTATCCAGATGCCAGTGTTACATAACTTCACATGGTTGCTACAATAGTAGTGAAACCTTCCTAAGATGATTAACTGTAGTTCCAGATGATTTTGATTTTCAGAGGAGATGAAATAACTATTGTATAGGTTGGGAACCACTAATTGAATATGTTCTAAAAATCATCTTGACATTGCTTCAAAATATATGCTTTGTTAAACTATCATTTCAAGGAGTTGGACGTCGATGGAAGCTGCACTGTATAACTACACGAGTTTCTCTGCAAATCGATGAGAAAATTGTTGCACGCATTTTAGCCGTTTCTTAGAGTATATTATATAATAAATTCAGAAAGTCCAATTATAAAGTCAATGATAGAAAAGACACTTACTTTAGATCCATCATAAGCCCAAGATGCAAATTTCATGTTACAAGTCTGAACATCGAAAGGAAAATATTCGACATCCATACCACAGGTACTTTTGAAAATTCCAGCTGAAGGCCACAAAACATCCCCAGTCGCCTGAACAATAACGTTTGTGTTCATAATAGCCATGCTGTACAATGAATCAGCACTAAGGAAAGGTGGGAAAAGAAGCCAGTGTTAGAATTTTTACAAAATTATATCTATGAAACTAAGTATTAAGTAACATTAAAATTTTACCTCTGTTGTATGAAAAATTACAAATGAAGTAATACCATTGTAAACATTTCTTGATATGAATGTAAAATATTTAAATATAATGAAATTGACCTAATTTCCAGTCACAGCCAAAGCATACGACATGGGTTTGATTTTCAATCGCATTTTCAAATCCAATTTTTTCTGAGCTTTTATTAAAATTTACCAATAACGATAGAAATGAGAGACTGCAAAATAATAATCTGGAAATTTCTTTGATTATGAAGTACCAAAAAATAATGCTTAGGAAATGTCCATAATTGCAGTGTCCCGAAGGAAAATTCAACCCAACATTTGAACATGTATACGGTTACTCCAAAAAGTATTCGACCATCAACCGATTATCTAAACAATTTGTCATTAAAAAACATTAAACAAAGAACTAGAAATTTTATTTTTATCATTTGAAAATAACAGAATGAAGATATACCTCAGGCACACTTCCAAAGAAATTAAATAAACTATACTACCATAAAAAAGAAAGAAAAGAAACATTTTAGATTCCATAACATGGGTCAAAAAAGTATTCAACATTATCCTAAAATAGAAGCAATATTTATCTTACGATTTATATTTTGCAGGATGCCCTTAGACTTAATAATGGCTTCAGTCTAGATGGCATGCTTACAATTAGTTTTTTAGTGTAATCACTTTGCATTTTATACCATTCTTCCTCTAAATGCTGTTTTAGTTTTATCTTCTTTGTAGTACCTTTATTTCTGATCCTTTGACTTAATTCTTCCCATAAATATTCGACTGGATTTACGTCTGGTGGTTGTGAGGGTGTTTCAAGTACTTTTGGTGTATTGTGCAACAGCCAAAGCTTCAGATCATTATCTTGCATGAACACAAAAATCTGTCGATAATCCCATAAATTAAGCACTAGCATGTAAATTTGTTTTCAGAATGTTAATATATAGTTCATTATGGCTATCAATAAAATGTAGTTTCTATACACCTGCATAAGACATTGTGACGACTGAACACCCGTGTTGGATGAAAGGAAAAGAGCAGTTGTCTTTTAAAAATTTATTTAAAAAACTTAGTAAGAATTTCTTGAATACTAATAAGTAAAATAATTAAAACATTACAGCCATAATACAAAACAACGCGGGTTGCGTCTTCTTTCAAGTCTTTCACTGCATAAAAAGCTCACACAAAAGGCCCTCTCTTTCGTTTTGTTAAACGTGTTGTCGGAAATACCTTGGAATGGGGTAATTTACGAAGGCCCTTGTGTCCGGAAACCGCACAAGGGGATTTACGCAACATCTTTTCTCAAAGTTCTAACTGACAATTAGTCTCTGGACAAAACAGCAAGTTCTTCTCATTAAAAAAATGTTTGACAGACGTGTGCATATCGTTACAATATGCACCCCCAAACTATAACGGAATGTTCGACATAGTTTACTATTAGTCGGAAATTTTCTCAATTCAAATTTATTTCTTTGTCCCCGTACCTTACAATTACCATCTGCTCCAAATAAGTTATATTTACTTTCATAACTAAATATAACTTTTTTTCCAAAAGTCTAGTTCCGTTTACATATTTTTTCGCAAATGTTTTCTACTTTCTACTTGTTTTCGAGCTGATCCTTTTTTATAACTAAATTCTTTAAGGGTATTTCTTACAGTCTGAGTACACACTTCTTTCTTAACCAGTAGTTTCAATTCTGGACCACTTAACGTTGGATCTTTTTAACTTCATTTGAAAGATACCGTTTATCATACTCATCAACGTTTTTAAGCGCCCTCTTCTTGTCCTGTTTACAAAATATATTGACTATGGATGCCATTTTACTATGTATTTTGCAGTTGAAAGTGCTCTTTTAATAGCTTGAGCAATTTTCTCATATGTATCTCCATATTTCTTCATATTAATTACAATTTTCCTATCTTCAATTGTATTTTTTCTTTTTCCCAGGCATTTTTAAATTCCCCGTTTAAAATTTCAGAAATACGCTTGATTCAAGCCAAAATGTTTCAAATAACTTTAACTCTTGTAACACTTAAGAATGTTTTCAAGTGTTAATTTAAACATTGTAACCCTTCAGACGACCTATTACTCGTGAGAGTCGAATACATTTTAGTCTATAAAAACTGGTAGTTTACAAGAAAGTCGCTTTTATCTTCATTAAATTTGCTTTTTTCAAACAAGATTTTCTATTTAATGAGTAGTATACACATTGATAAAGACTAAAATAAGAGAAGGTAGCAACAAATTATCAGAACTATGCTTTTATGTCATTTTAAAAACATTGGTTAATAAAGTCAAATACTTTTTTGACAAATTGTAAATCATTTTTTTAAGATGTTAAGTTCCACCTGATTGGGGCTAAAGCATGTTTCGATTAATTTCTGTTCCCGTTTCTCAACTACTGAAACAACTACGTTCTATAATGCAACTCCGTTGACGTTTAATAAGCAATTAAAGGATTAACTGTAGAGCTTATTGCCTGCGGTTTTGGGTCCGTTGTCGGAGAGGTGGTTAGTATATCTCGAGACATTTGGATAACTACTGTAACTTTGCAACAATACAATAACCCTAAAGTATACTTGATATATGAGACACTTAAGGTAATGAGTGTATGAACAAAATACTGAGGTAAACTCAACTAATGGCAGATTCACCTGCATTTGAATGTAAAACACTGAAAGATTGAAAAGCTGTTAGCACTATGGTAATCGAAGGTTTTTAATATAATTTTTTTCTGTAGAGAAACAAGTTGTTGTATAGAAGAAATAAATGTTCAAGAGTTCAAACTTAAATTTAAATGCATATTTCTCTCAATTCAGCTTAAATGAATGTAGGTAAGCTCAGTTGTCATTAACTGGATAAAGTAGACCATAGATAAAGTATTTAGAATGAAAAGGAATTTTTAAGACATTCATTTGTTGGACAATGACCTCAGGCCTCTTGCACTTGTGTAATATGAAGATTTCTGACGACTAGAAAAGTATTTAACATACTGCCTTCACTTGATACAGAGCGGATCACCACTGACAGAAAACTTCCATTAAATTATAAATCACTAAGCTTTCTAGACGACTTTCAGTATGTATAGCAGCAAGTTTAAAGACTATTATTCCGTATCAAGAATGCAAACCATGGTAGAGACTACTATAGTAAGACAGTAACCTGGTACATAATTTGAAATTATATAAATACTTAGTTCATTTTGCAAAACTTACTTATTGTAGAGTACAATATCTGGTCTCCACACATGGGCAGCTGGAAGTCGGATAACAGATATGCCACCGAAATCTGACGCATTCCACTTCAAGTGAATATCTGTCCATTTCTGTAAAAGAACTGTTAGTTAATGAAAACAAATACTTCCAGGCTATAGATCTTTAATGAAATGACAGCAGAAATGTTTAGGTGAGGGCTACATGATTACTGAGAAAACTTCTTTGGATTAAATTTTAATTTATTTTTCAATAACACTTCTCACAAAAATATTTTGTCTTAAAAGCGTTATTTTGGCAGTTATTCAGTTTGCCTTTAAGAAACAACTGCTCTGTTATTTCAATGTCCTTTCAATTTGTTTTAAGTACTAAAAGATACTTTATCGATAAATGCTAAAAATGCCCCGTAGAAACCCATAAAATTTTTTTACAGGGAATTGGTACCCGTAGGCCAAATTCCCGTAAAAACCCACAGACAGAAACCCGTACAACTCTACGGGTACCCGTAGGCCAAATCCCTGTAAAAACCCATAGAATTCTTTCTATGGGTACCCGTAGGCCAAATACCCGTAAAAACCCATAAAAAGAAACCCATAGGCTAAATACCTGTAAAAAAACCTGTAAACAGAAACCCGTACAACTGTACGGATACGAGTAGGCCAAATCTCTGTAGAAACCTGTAGAACTGTAGCCACTATATACAAAATCCCAGTAAAAACCCATAGCCAAAAATCAGAACTTTATATGCATATCCATTGGCCAAATTTCCATTAAAAAAATGGATATTCCGTACAGGGTTCGTACACATTTCTGCACATGGAAATTTAGTACTTTTAAGGACCATTACTGAAAAAATTAAGGACCTATGAGCAAATAGCAAATTAATAAATTCACTTAAAATATTATCTGTGCCTGAACTTCACTTTTGTAACACCATGCAAAAAACAATATAGATCCATAAGTGGGATGCATTATTATTAAACATAACTTAATTAACATAATTATTAGTTAGTTTGAGCATAAATATACTTTATGAAATTTATCAAACAGCATTAAATATTTTAGACTTACATAGTTCAGTATCTTTGAAAGAACATAAGTAACATTTTATTTACATTTTACTAATAGTTTAGTTTTTCATGTTGATTTTTTTTATGTCTCATTACTTGCTCAATCTAGAGGTTTAGTAAATAGCAGGTAGATTTTATGTCAAGCGTCATAGTTTAAAATAAGAAGTAAAATCATAATCAAAATAATTTATAATAAAAGACTGGCTGTTGTCACCGCTGCTCCTTACATAGAGAGAGACCTGCTGATCAGAACAAAAGAGAAGCCTGATGTGGGCACGGTTAACTAGTTTTGAAAGTTAGTTGGGCTCTGTCTGTTGCGGTTAGTGTTGTAGCTCCGTGTAGAGTTCCAGGGGTTGTAACCAAGTTAATATACTTTAAGGTTCCAATAAGCCACTAAAGCACCAGAGGTGACACTAAGTTGCTTTGTATTAATTTAGGTCTCACTAGATACTAAGAATAAGTTTTACATGAATTTTTACATTTTTGTGTTTAAACCTTGTGTCCATGCTAAGGAATAATGAAAGGCAATAACTCCACTTCATCATGCAGAGATAATTTTTAAGAGTAAGCAATTAGTTATAAATTAAATTAGGTAGTTAAAAAACCTTATTCAGTATGGATTTACATGATTACTATTAAATTTTATTTATTTTTTAACAATATTGTTAAAAGTCCCTATTAAAATCACAATCTAATAAAATTTCACACTTTAAAATACATGCAATTTATGTCATTGATTCTTAAACGATATTAGGATAATTATACATTAACAGCTACAAAACATTTATGTTTTGTAGCTTTTAATGCTTTTTGTAGCTACAAAACATCAACAACACTCAACAAAATATTTATGCATCTTTTTAATTTGAAGCCTTCCCAGACATTTTGGCTTAATTTATATCAATTTTCTCTTCTCTTTAAACATCTTTCCTACAATTAAAAATCTGTTTGAATACACAAACCAATGTCTTACTAATTTCTTTCTTTTCTTTTCTGCGTACTTTATCTCCTAAGTTGTCAACCTCTCCACATGTACCTATGAGGGTTTAATTTATCTGGTAAAAGTTAATTAGTCCAAAAACTCCCGACAGACGTGAAGCAAGTTATCGCTACATCTCAAAGTAACTACAAAGTCAGACAAACGTTTAAATAAGCCTCTTATTTAAAAAGAACTTAAAGCCATGTTCTTATGCTAACCAATTCAAATGCAATTTATGGTGATGTAATTAAACAAGAACAATCAAATTCAAACAAAAAATGTGGACTAGTGGTTAATTTAATTTTAATTTAAACTGGCTCAGTAACTCTATCGTCATAACAAATGTCAGCAGCGATAATGCAAAGACAAATTATCAGAGCTGGCAGGAACTAATGCAACGAGCAAGTGGAGATTAAAAACACATTCTGTCTTACACGCCAAAAACCTCAGTTTAAAAACTGCCTTAAGCGATTTGCATTCTAGGGAGGAAATAGAAATGGGAAATTATAGTAAAGGCTGAAATTATAAACAACTGGGTAATTTACATAATAATACCTGTATATATATTTGAAGAATAATTTTCTTTCTCTGTATGTACTCAGTTTCTTTCTTCAACACGCTTCCTTTTCATTTTAGAATTTTTGGATTTAATTAAAGATTCCTGTTATTCAAAAAAAAAAAAAAAAAAAAAAAAAATTAAATGCATTTAGAATGCGTAGAAAAAGCTGCTAATTTTATTTCTTTAGTAATATGAATATTCAGGAGAAATAGGAAATACTATATGTGGTAAGAGCCGGTTACAGAGCTAATGTGGCAGAATTTTCAGAATTTAGTGACACACCGAGCAACAAAATGTAGAAATGGCAAAACTTTTAGAATTTAGAGCAGGCACTGGAAGCAGAATTTAGAAAGGCACTAGTCAGCAAAATTTAGGATCTACAGAGATAAGTTTAATATTCCACGTGATTGCACCAGGTGGGAAAATGCCTAGCGTCAGACCTGTGTATGATGCATTAAGTCATATTAGATAAATCTTTTAAATTGCCAGTTTTCAATTTCTTTATTAATAAAAAATTCCTTTCTATAATGCCTGTCCATGTCATAAGATTAGAAGCATTTTTAATATTTTTCATACTTGTGTCTAGTGAAAAGCAGAGAAAATAAAGGGAAGAAAAGCATGTTAAAAAAAAAGACTAGTATCAGAAGTAAAGCATTCAAATATTATGTTTTCATTGTTCTTCCAGAAGTTCTCCAAAAAGTAAGAAATTCATTGCAAACTTTCTGCAAAACACATCCATTATGTGTTAATACCATAGAGATATTTTTCATTTTGTCACAATTTTCTAAAATCTTCTGGAATGGTGGGTCTATAAATCTTGCTTTCAAATCCTTCTAAACTTCTATGCATATTCTGAGAATTATGAACACTCTGAGAAAATTACATGAAAATACTCTTATCATGAAAAAATTAAAAAGAAGATATTTTTTGATTAATATGTTATTTTTTAAATATAATTCCAATATATTACCATTATTTTAATGATATTTATCAATGTTAGAATGTTTAAAAAAAAACTGTTGAAAAATTCCCAAATCATGGAAACTAAAATTTTCTATAGAAACTGATCTTAAAAATCGCCAAAATATTGATAAGTCGCCAAATTTAGAGCCGTTCAATAAGAGAATTCACATCCCTAAAAGCGAAAAGTTGTTTAAGAGCTCTTCAGTAGAAAAAGGTGAAATAATTTCGAAATACTTGTTTCACTTCTTGCTCAGAAACTCGAATATCCCACCATTTATATTAAAAATAGAAAATAATAACCCATTCAAATAACCATATATATTAGTGAATCGCCAAAAATATACCTCCGAACTGCTAATTCACACTCAAAATGGCAGTCGTAAAAACAGACAGAAATTTCACAGGATTAAAAATTAAGGACCTTCTGCCGGTTTTGGCTAAAATTAAGGACTTTTAAAGACCAAAAATCGAATCCAAAAAACTTAAGGACTTTTAAGGACTCTTACGGACCGTACGAACATTGTCCGTACGTCTATGCCTTGTAAAAACCAGTAGACAAAAGCATGTACACCTATACAGGCACCCATACGCCAAATCCTGTAAAAACCACTACACAAAAATCCACAGACCAATAAAGGAACCTCTTGGAAAAATCGCTGCACAAAACAGTAAACAAAAACCCATAAACAAAACCAATAGCATTATACCATAGTGGAGTATGCATACATAGAATCGTACATAGAACGGGTATCCATATACAGAATTCCTATAAAAAGCAATACACAAAAATAGAACTGTAAATCAAATTTCCATAAAAACATAAACCAGCAGAAGTACATAATTAGCACTGATCAAATGTACAGAACTAAATGGCGGAGAAAGCATGTAAAGTAATTTTAAATAAAATTCAATGCGAATAAATAAAAATTTTAAAATATCTAGAAGACTACGAGCCCGTCCTTCTTAATGCACATCAATATCTATAAACATATTACAAAATATTTGTATAAATTCTCTTTACAAAATTTTAAACTACCTTTATATCATTTTGAAAATAAAATGAATAGAACGATAATAACCAAAGTCATGATTCACAACCATCGAATGATATATGTACATATACATATGTAAGAAAAATAAGGAATAAGCAAAAGATTAAATTAGCAGCGTAAAATGAATTTTCCTTCTCTATTCTAAAAACAGTAATCTTTCTACACTGCATCATTTCGAGATTAATTCATGTCATACGATACGACTCTTACATAATTTGATGTGTAAAAGGAACTAAAACTCAAACAGCCAATAGTAATTTTACAGCAGTATTAACTATCAAATACGAGTAAAATGCATTGAGAACCAAAATTAACTCGGTCTGAATTAAGATTTCATCCTGAACATAATGCACTTGTTTTCTACGTTTTTACGTTTTGGCCTAGCTGGACTGCAGTTTGTCTTCTCCTTCTTTCTTACTACAAATTTATTAAAAATGTAAACGTTTGGAATAGGCATAATAATGTGGCAACTTGTTTGTGGTTGCAACAT